TTTTAATTTTTTTTAAAGAACAAACTTTTTTACACTCCTCTGCCCACTCAAGGCAGAATTCAAATTGAACGTTTCCTAGAACATATGAGTCCAGTTCAATCCTAAGTCTTAGATCCTAGGATCAGAGAACAGAAGACATGCAGCTGCTTGTTTATTATGCGATGTTTTATAATTGTGGACTGTTTATTTGCTTTTCAATTCTGTGTTAGGAACAAAACAACTGTATGCAGTAGCCAAGCACATTTCTCTGCTTCTGTGGAGAGCCAACTCCATTATGCTAAAGTCACATGGCTAGGACTTACTGAACTACTGTGTTCAAGAAGGCCAGTAGGAAGGGGCTCAGAGCTAATTTTTCATTGAGTAACTATATAAATCAACAATCTTTGACAGCAAGTCAGAACATATAAAGTCCCTAACCCTCTTACAATCAGCCAGCTCAGCACTTAACTCAGCAAAGCCACACCACAGAAAATGTACAAACCACTAGGATTAGCATAGTAAAGCTCCAGGCGCAGATCCATTTTGCTGAACAAATGAGGTGTGACTGGGTGTGATTGCTTTTTTGAGTGTGAGTAGCTGTCAGTATCATCTGAGTACTTAAAATGCAACTATTGAAGTGTCTCTGTTCCAAAATTCTCAGATTAATAATGTTAAGCAAGGTATAGAATGAGAAGATCCAAACAGAAGAGAAATTCCCTAGAGGCGGTGAGGTCTTCTAGCTATTCTTGTTCAGGAATAATATTGTGCTCACTTCCTCATGTCCCAGAACATTTCAAGACCTCCTCAGTGACCTGCCTGATTACTTAAAAGAATTTTGGCTAACAACTCATACATGAAAAACCAAATGGATGGAGGGAAAAAAATCTATTGTCCAAACTATGGCATGCAGTTGGATAGCTGATTGAATTAGCATAGCAATATGTCTATCTTGAACAAATGCTGTAGATGGACAATGATTTGGGCTCCAGAATTTAATAAGAGAAAAAGAGCAGGTTGAACTGTATTCAGGAAATTAACTAGTACTTTTAAACATCACAAGCTATATCCTGGAATGCACATATATGTGTGTATGTTCATGTACAAACATAAATATACGTACCACAAAAAATATTTTTTTACATAAATATTCTCCCAGTTATGCTAGTATGGTTGTGTACCTGTGAACAGTATAATCCTGAAGAATCAGAATGGATGATCAAAAGGGTGATGGAGGTATATAGGAAGTAAGTACATACAGATTGCAATGGATTTCCATGCAAAATAAATGGAGCACCAAATGTTCTGAAAAAAATGAATGACTGAAAAAGGAAGTGAGACGATAACATGAGATCATTAAATTTTTTTTTCCTCTTTCCATTCTTACATTTCTCTGGCTCTCATTGATTGGTCAACAATAGGTCCCAACCCAAGCCTCATTTGGTCGTTGTTTGGGCTCTGATGGTTCAGAGTGAATATAAATAGCAATTGTTTCTGTTTTGACCAGAAACCCTGAGGGTCTTCCGCTCCCAGATGGATTTTTTTTTTGTGACTAGGTTAAAGAAGCCATTCTTCGCTTCGTTTCTTACCTAGGCCTTAATCACTGAATGAGCATTGCCTCAGACAAACTGAGACCTGGAAAAGACCTTAGCTTAAAAAGGCCAAGGTCTCCCACTATCCAGGGCCATCTCCAGATGGCTCTGGAGGAGAAAGTGAACCTGGTGATTTTGCACAGCTCTTACCTTACTTAAATCCAATTCACTTGCAAGTCGTGGAATCAACTTCCTGATGTCTCGGTCCTCTTTGAGAATGAAGGACAAACAACAACACAGTAATGCCTAGGGAACACCCACCTTCTTCCTTCCCATTCTCCTAAATGTGCTGGGAAGCAGCTATTGGTAATTTGAATAACTCCCCACAGTTTTGCCAGAACAACTTATGGTGCTTAACAGATAATTATGGAATGTTTTGCCAAACTTCTAAACTAGGGAAAGTGATCATTTAAGAAACAACCTGCCCAGGAGCTTGGGAGCAAAGGGCATCAGACTTGAAAGTCATTAGGTCTGAATATGAACATCACCCACAGATCTTTCTACAATAACGCACTAGCTGGCATTTACATAGCGTTTTAAGATTCACAAAGCATTTCATGTATGTGACTCCTTTTCAATAGCCCCTCCCACAGAGGCTGTCAATACTATTAATGTGTCTTTAAGAGGAAATAGAACTTTAGGGAAAGTTACAATTTAATTGTCATTTGAAGAGCCATTGTCCTGTCTGGAGCCTGTAGGGATATAGAAGAGAAGAACTAAGAAAATTTTTTTCATGAGAAATTGAAGAAGTAAGCTGCCATTTTTGAGAAAAGCTAAAGAAAAATTTCTTTAGAAAACTGACTTTAGCTCATGCTGTGGAGAAGATATCCTACAGAGAATTCTTGGGAGACTTCACTTGTCATCCTGAGAGATTTAAAATAGAGGACCTATGTTTCCAGAATTGAGAAATTAGAAATTATAGTTGATGGATACAGGTAACAGTAACTGTGCTCTTCTCACTCTGATAAGTGGCTGAAATACTCAAATACATCTTTACATTACATGATATTCTGTGAATGAATTGTACATACAGAATACTGATGGTTATTAAAGCCTATGAGACTAGAGGGGTTGATATTGAGAGGGAGATGAGAAAAACCTTATGGAAAAAAGAAGGCTCTCCAGCTAATTTAACATAGTAAGGTGGTGTTTGGGCAGCTACGTGGTACAGTGGAGAAAGTACCAGGCCTGGAGTCAGAAAGATTCCATCTTCTTAGGTTCAAATCTAGCCTCGGACACCTACTGTGTGACCCTGGACAAGTCATTAAACCCTGCTTACCTCAGTTTCTTTATCTGTAAAATGAGCTAGAGAAGGAAATGGCAAACCCTCCAGCATCTTTGCCAAGTAAACCCCAAATGGGGCCACAAAGAGTCAGACACAACTGAAATGACTGAACAACAGCAACAATGCTTTGTAACATTCCTAGGCTCAATGTAGTTAATATCTTTTCATCTGTGAATAGGAATATTTGGAGACCCTCACCATCAATAAATCCTTCCTTTGATTGGACCTTACATAGGATATCTTCTGTGACAATGGTAAATATCTTTATTAAATATCCTTTTCCTATTTAACACCTTGTTTGATATCAACATACCAATATTCTTCAAGAGATACTTTATGGCTATGAATCATGGTATACCACAATTCCCAGAATTCCCAGATAAGCAGTGGAAAGATGCATGATGGGCTTAAGTAAGCACAAGCATATTACCAACAGTGACTTATATACATGAAGTTATATAAAAGATATTATTAAAATAAATGTGTGATTAGAAAAGTAGTTGCACTTGACATGTATTGAAATAAGAGAGGCAGTGCCTGAGTAGTAGTCCATTGGTATACCTAAATATTAAAGAATAAGGAAGAAGCTTTCAGCCTCTGGTTATCAGATAGTCTATGGTAAGGGCTCATCCCTTCTTTTGTGTTATAGATCCCTTTGACAGTCTGGTAAAGTCAATAGATCCCTTCTCAGAATAACTTTTTTTTTAAATATGTACAAAGAAATATGTGGGATTACAATGGAAATTAATCATATTGAAATATGATTATAAAAATATCTGTTCTGGGACAGCTAGATGGGGCAGTGGATAGAGCACCAGCCCTTGGAGTCAGGAGGACCTGAGTTCAAATCCAGCCTCAGACACTTAACACTTACTAGCTGTGTGACCCTGGGCAAGTTACTTAATCCCAATTGCCTCACCAAAAAAAAATGTATTCTGTGCTAACATGGTCAGATTCAAGAAAGAGCAATCCCAACACTTAGCTGAACTTGTAAATTGACTATCTACTCCATTGCATGGCTTACAACTTTGTGACCTATTTACTCTATGGAGTAAATTTACCCTATTTCACCCTATTTCAAACGCAAATATGATTTTAATTTTGCTTTATTGAGTGAAATTTTTATGTGGGAATTTTCATACGAAAGGACTTTCTGTTCCAGATTCCAATGTAAACCCACCTAGCTTGTACTGGATTGAACTAATTTGTCTCCCAGAAGCTCCAACTATAACAAGTTGTGTAGGAGGACTGAATTGAACAATAACAATGGAGCAGTGTGGGAGCCCTTTAGAGAAAACCCCTCCTTCCTTCCACTTTTCATGCAAGCCAAATCTCACCTATATTTTACATTGCTGAGCTCAGGCATAAGCAGCATAGACATAGGTACAGCTAGAAATTAGGAGAACGCTGCAGTCTTCCTGCCTGGACATATAAATAGCAATTTTTGTACCTGGAATAAATGGTGGTTGAGTTGAGAGGGCAGAGATAGCTTCACCCGGGGCACAGTCAGGGGAAAGTAGCCTACCTCAAGACACAAAAAGGTTTCTAAGTTACTAGAGAAACGCATATAATTTAGGGATGAGGCTGTTCTCTTGGGAAAGAGGCAGGGCAGGGGAAGGAAGGAAATGTGCCCCAGGAAAAGGTCACCTCTGCCAAGGGGCAGGCTAGGAAGGGTAGGAAATTCACCCTAGAGACTGTGTGTGCCATTGTTTCCATCCTGGGCAAAGTTGTGATACCCTCATGCTAGTTACAACTCAGCTGTTAGTTATAGGCTGACCTCTTGCCAACTCTTCTCCCTCAATTCTGTGGTTTCCACAGATCCAATTCCTCCAGCTCATTGGAGCTCTGTTCATTAATACCAAGAGGGAAAAATAGCTTCGGTTCTCCCTGCCTTTTTACTGCTCCATGAACCTAATTTTCACGTAACTCTGAAAGACAAGTTTTTACACAAAGCTTTTTATTTCATAAGGCAGACTTTGTTACATGGTAACTTCCCTAGGGAAAGATGTTACTAATGAAATTGGGTGACTCATTTAGTGTCAGTATCTGTAAACTAGTCATTGAATCACAGACCTTCAGTGAGGAAAGGGATGTTGGTAGACATCTTGCTCAACTTATTCCCAAAAGTAATTCCAATTATAACATACCTAACAAGTGGTTATCCAACCTTTGCTTGGAGACCTCCAAGGAAGAGGAACCAGTCACCTTTCAAGACAGTCCATTCTTCTTTGCCAAGAGAGACCAATAATATGAAGAGAGACCTGTAAATCCACATTTTAAATGCAAAAAAGAAAAAAAAATGAATGTTTGTACTAACAGGAAGAAGCTAATTTTTCAGAATTTTCAAGCTTTTCAGCCACTTACTCTGAGAATACCACTTAAGCCACAAAAATCTTAACTTAAAACAATTCTCCAACTTGTTCCATAAGGAAATGGGCAGTAGATTTTTGAGGGTATCTTAACTTCTTCTTTCACCTGGAGGGCGGGGAGGGAGAAAGGGGACATCCCTGATATAGAAACTTCCTCCACCAATGTAGATGAACTCCTTTGTAATTTATCATCTTAGACTTAGAGGGTTGCCAAGATCATGAGCATTTGAGTGATTTGTTCAGCAAATCAGTCAAGAAACAGTTATTAAATGCCTACTATATGCCAGGCACTTTGCTAAGAACTGAAGATACAAAGAAAAGCAAAAGACAGTTCCAGATCTCAAGAAGCTCACTGTCTGGGGAGATAATATGCAAACAGCTATGCATAAACAAGATCTCACCTTACCAAGATATATAGCATACATTGAAATTAATCCACAGAAGGAAAACAACATTAGGGGCTTCTTGTAGATGGTAAAATTTTAGCTGAGATTTGCTCCTGGTCACACAGCCTGCATGTGTCAGAGGCAGGACTTCAAGCAAATATAACTTGAAAGAGCCACCAGTGGATTTCATATTTCCAAAAACCCAAGTGAACTAAGCACCTCCTATACTTCCCTACTCACCACAGCGCATTGCCCAAATACCAACAAGCTGCTTTGACTTATATGTGAGGTAGCGGTTGTTGCTTTGAATGACTGTGTTCAGTCACTTTTCAGTTGGGTCTGACTCTTCATGACCCTATTTGAGGTTTTCTTGGCAAAGATACTGGAGTGGTTTGCCATTTCCTTTGCCAGCTCATTTTACAGATGAGGAAACTTAGACAAATAGGATTAAGTGACTTGCCCAGGGTCACACAGCTAGTAAGCATCTGAGGCCAGATTTTAATTCAGAAAGATGAGTCTTCCTGACTCCATGCTTTGAATAAGAAGGATTTTTTTTTAAAAAAATTACATAAATGAAGGCTGAAGTCTTGATTCAATTTAAGGACCTCCTCACTTTTTTAACCTATTCAGCTATAAAGTTCCATGAGGGTAGGAACTGTCTCACTCTTCTTTGTAACTCCCAGATCTCCTGGCACAGAATCTAGTGTTATAAGGTTTACACAGTGCTTTACCCACCTTATTTCATTTGATCCCCATATAACAGTGGTCATCCTATGGAGTGAGGAGAGGTCGGGACCCAGCACTCTATCCACTACACCACCTAGCTACCCCTACCCCCTTTTTAACAAAGGAGCAAACAGAGGCTGAGAGGTTGTTCAGTTAGTAAGTATCTGAAATAGCATTAGAACCTAGGCCATCCTTACTCTATTCACTCTATTCACTAGGGCACAGCTGCCTCTTATACCAAGGCTCCATACACAAAAACCTTCATGAAAGAAACTTAGGGGTGGACATGAATAATTTTGCAGATAAATAAGCATGGGGTAAACGTTCATAAGATCATAGATCTGTAGCTCAAAGAGATCATGTAAGCCATCCAGAACAATCCCCTCTTTTACAGGTTAGGAAGCTGAAGGCAAGAGAGATTAATTGGTCTTAAGTAGTAAACCTTAAGGTCACTTAAGTAATAGCATCAGAGGTGAGCTTTTAACCCATGTCCTCTGTCCCTAGAGCCAATAAGCTGTCCACTTTACTACAAAGCAAGTCCAAAAAAAACCCCACTAAGAGTAAAAACCCTGTGTCTGGACTCCAGTTGCAACACCTCATTCACTGAACCATTATGTCTCTCCCTTCTTTTCTTAGCAACCTAGGTTCTCTCTGCAAACAGAACCATCTCCAGGACAAAATAATTTCCTAGCTCAAAGCACTAAGGCACAAGTAGATGCATGGATCTGGGGAGAAGAGAAAGTTTTCAGTGGATGCAGGATTTCAGAATGAAACATAGGCTGAATCAATAGAAAAGAATAAATATCAGTGTTGAAGGAATCCTGATGGTAGAAAACAGTTTGTCAGGAAGCAGCCATTTACTGGGAAGCAGATAAGATTTAAAACTAGTCAAAGAGATAAAATAAACTTCTAGACAACAGTTTCCCTCGTTGTGCTGAGGCCAGCCCAGAGCCAAAACCAGCAAAAGAAATCAAAAGTGGGAGCAGTGCCACACAAATACAAAGACCCCAGAGCTAGAAATAAAATAAGAACAGAATATTGCCAATCTCAACTTGATTATTTAGAGACACAATGATTTGTTTTAATTGTTTAGTTCAATGATCCCTTCTCCTTTTAAAATAGATCCAGCATCCTCCATGTAACAGGCAGGCACCAGTATTTATTAAGTACTTACTATGTGCCAGGTACTGTGCGCAGTGCTGGAAATACAAATACAAGCAAAAGGAAAGTCAGTCCCTGACTTCACAGAGCTTACTTTCTAATGGAGAAATAAAACACATAAAACAGCTAGTGGGGGTGAAGGGGAGAGGGAGAGGTAGATACCAGAATACAGGTATGGTGGCAAAATTTGGCCGGTCAGAAGCACTGCTGGAGAGAAATGAAGCTTGGACAGCCTGGACCAATCTTCATAATGGAGTTCCACAACCCAACAAACTCTACAGTAGGAGGAGGGGGCCAGCACTGTGATGAGATGTCCCATATTGAGAAAGCCTAAGCACAGAGGATAGTTCCTGGGTGAAAAAATGAAATGAGTCATGGTGGCAAAATCCAGAGTACAGCCAGCTGGGGAATGAAATAGCAATTCATTCTTCTTCCCCCCCAAAAAAAAAAATCAAGCTGACCATATTTTCTTTTTTTTTTTAATCAACCAGCATTAATTAAGCACCTACTATGTGGCAGGCACTGTGTTAGGCACTGAAGAAACAAAAACAAAGAGTGAAACAATCCCAATTCTCAAGGAAGGAATTTTGGTAGACATATAGCCCAATTTTTTTTAGGCATTAGACATTTTATTTGCTTATTTATACAGACTTATCTGGCCTTCCTACTTCCCCTCTCTCCCGATCACAATTAAAAACAAAAAATCAAAATCTTCAAAACAAATATGCACAGTCCAGCAAAACAAATTCCCACATTGGCCACACCCAAAAGTATAGGTCTCATTCTGTACCCCGATTCTAATACTTCCCTGACAGGAAGTGGGTAGCATGTTTCACCTTCGGTTCTCTGGCATTGTAGTTTATCATTGCATTGATCAGAATTCCAGTCTTTCAAAATCATTTTTCTTTATAATACCACTGTCATTGCATAAATTGCTCTCCTAGTTCTCTACTCTCTTCACTCTGCATTAATTCATAAAAGTCTTCCAATTTTTTTTTCTGACTCTGTCCTTTTCACCATTACTTATGGTAGCATAATTACATTCCTATTTGTTCAGCTATTCCCCAAATTTCCACTTTGGGGCTACTATGAAAAGAACTACGTAGCTTTTTTTGTGTTTGAACCAGAATCCTCTTTATGACATCCCTCATGAATGGCCATCCTTTCTCCACTTTAAGGCCTCCAGTGATAGGCAGCACACTACCTGATGATCAGTCAATAAACATTAATTAAACACCAACCAAGTGCCAAGTTTTGTGCTAAGCACTAGAGAGACTAAAGAGGCAAAAGACAGCCCTGCCCTCAAGGAGCTTACAATCTAATGGGGGAGATAACATGGACAAGAATAGATAAAAAGCAAGCTATGTATAGGACAAATAAGAAATAACAGAAGGAAGGCACTGGAATTAAGAGGGTTTGAGAAAGGCTTCCTGTAAAAGATGGGACATTGATGGAAAGCAGGGAAGTCAGCAGTTGATGAAGGAACATTCCAGGCTGAAACAGCCCAGCCTACTTGTGGACACCAAGCTTCCTTTCAGAAGTATGTAAAGGTATCTTTAGTAAACCCACACAAGTCCACATTAATGCTCGTAAGACTGCCCAGGTGATCTGCCTTTCCATTAGTCTGGGCACTTAAGAGGACCCTCAACTGCAGCATTAATGAGCTGTTCAAGCTACATTCCACCTATAATGAAATTTGCTTGTGAAAACTCTGAAATCAGCTCTCATTTTCTGATTGACTGGAATTTTCAGAATTGCCTCAAATAGCCTGAAACCTTTTCTGGGATGATGGCTACGGAGCGTGCCAGTGGGGCACTATGAAAAGGTGGTAGAAAAATATTCAAGCACTTTAAGTAGCTTGGCGAATGCTAAGAGAAAACAGCTGGAACTGAATTAATTCAGAATGCTTGCAGAGAATTCTCCCTCTCTAATTCCCAGTCTTTAACTGAAAACACTAAGATGCCCTAACAAAAAGTATTTAGCATTATTAAATTAAATGGTTAGACTAGGTAATGTCAAAGATGCTTTCCATCTCTAAAATCCTGTAATTTTGTGTGTTTATAAATGTACAAAAGTGTGTCTTATAGACTTAATTAGGTCAACTACACACACACACACACACACACACACACACACACACACACACACACACACACACACACACACACACACTTTTTTGTCTAGTAGTGGTGTGATGCTGTGCTGATAAGCAGGATTGACAGTCTAGTCACTCTACTCCTTTCTGTGGACTTGGCTACTCCTCCCCAGTCACTCCTTTTGTTCCTCCCATTTGGGAGGAACTTTCCTCCTCAACCAAACCAAGAGAAAAATACAGTATAGAGACCCCTTCTCAGTATTAGTCCAACTATTTAAAGCCCACCTCCACCTCACCCCTTCCAATCATTGCTGACTCATTCATTGTCTAGGAATTTCAATTAATATATGTATCCTCTTTCTACCCTGGGAAGTTGTACAAATGAATCAATAATTTTCTTTTTCAGCATATGTACTTTTCTTTGCCTCTATATCTCCTTGTCCTCTTGACATCTTCTATTCAGACATGGCTGCCAGCCAACAACCCTTCACCTCCCAGCATTCTTCATAGGGGCTACAACAGGGACTAAGGCCAAGAAGGAGAAGAATTGGGGCAACTACACCGGCGATAGTTGTCAGGGGCATTCTCTCTGGCTCCAAGCAGCTAATCCTAGACGTGTTTTTATTAAGCATGACAAATGAGAGAAGAACTGAACACAGAGATGTAGTAGAGAACCCAGGGCTCTCAAGAAGGAGCCTAGGACTCTATGGGTTTGGGGAAGGAAATAAGCATTTATTAAGTACCTGTACCAAGAAAACACAGGTGCTCCATCAGCCAGCACCACAACATTCATATGTGGAACCATTGGTTACAGCAAATGGAGTTTTGAATGCTGTGGTTGAGTTCACTTACCTTGATAGTGTACTTTCCAGGGATATGCACATTGATAATGAGGTTGATGCATGCATTGTCAGAGCTAGCTCAGTGTTTGGGAGGCTCCAAAGGAAAGTATGGGAGAGAAGAGGTATTAGACTGACTACCAAACTGAAGTTCTACAGAGCTATTGTGCTGATCTCAGTGTCGTATGCCTGTGAAACCTGTATAGTCTACCCTCACCATTTCAGGAAACTGACTTCCATTTGAATTGTCTTAGGAAGATTCTGGAGACCATTTGGCAGGATAAAATACCAGACACTGAAGTTCTTTCTTGGACTAAACTGCCAAGCATTCAAACTCTACTTCAGAGAACACAACTCCAATGGATTGGCCATGTTGCTTGAATGCCAAACGTATGCTTGCCAAAAAGACTATTTTATGGAGAACTCACGCAGGGCAAACATTCACATGGTAGTGAGAAGAAGAGATACAAGGACACTTTGAAGGTCTCTCTTAAGAACTTTGGAATTGATTATGTGACATGGGAGACACTGGCACAGGACTGCTCAGCACGGCATGCCCTCATCAGAGAAGGTGCTGTGCTCTGTGAGCAAAGCAGAATTGAAATAGCTCAAGTGAAATGTGAGATGTGCAAATTTAGAGCATCCACCCCAAATGTTCATATGGACTATTTATGCCTGACCTATGGTAGAACATTCCAAGCTCATATTGGTCTGATCAGCCACAGTCAGACACACTGAAACTTGACTCTAACATAGTGATGTCATTTTGGTCCTCTTAAAGATTGAAGAACAACAACCAATCAGGTATGTATCAGGCACAGTGCTAAGCATTCTACAAATATTATTTCATTTGATCCTCACAACAACCCTTTGAGGTAGGCACTACTATTATCCCCATTATACAGTTGTGGAAACTGAGGAAGACAGAGGTTAAGTGAACTTTCCAAGGTCACTCAACTGGTTTGAACTCAGGTCTACCTGACTCTAGGTCCATCATTCTATCCTCTGCACCACCTAGCTGCCTCTGCTGGAAAGTGTCCAAATAAGGAAACAGTGGCACTGAAGGTAAACTTTACCTTCTTGATAATTTTTCCTAGAATCAGGAATAGGAGTCAAAAGTGCATGCTAGCTGGGATAAAGGGAGAAATATATTTTTAACTAGCTGACCACATGGGAAGAAAGGCAGCTTCAAAGTACTATTTCCTAATTCTCCAGCCATAGAGGACAATTCAATTAAACTTAAATCATTACTGTGTAATGGTATAGGAGCTGTTTTAAATTTAGATAAAGTCCCTGTAACTCATGGACCTTATTGTCTAGTAGAGGGATATAACAATATATAGACAATTCTAATACAAAATGGAACAAGATAAGTACTTTAGAGAGGCAAACCACAGAATGCTATGTGTAAGCCCCAAGGGTTAGATTGTCATTACCACCTGGGAAATCAGGAAAGTATTTAAGTTTCCTGTACTTACAGCATCCAGAAAAGAAGATAAAGGGAGATTTTCTCCTCTCCAATAAAGTGAATAATCTGCAATAGAAATATTTGATGTAACAGGTATAAATGGCAACCAAAAGAAAGGATAAATATTAATGAGCTTTAGGGAAACTTCAAAAGCAAAACAAATGAAAACCTATTTTATTTCCACAGTACAGTTCAGAGCAATTAACTAATGCTTAATTAACTGCTGTCATTTGGATTTTTATTACTAAAAATACTTTTGAAGCAAATCATATGAGTTTCTCAAATTCTGAAGGAAAAAAAAAAGTAAAAATGCAACCATCTCAGTTCAACTATCTCAATTCAACCCTCTATGAGGAAGGGTTTCCATTCCCTCTCATCTCACGGTGTTTGCCACATTCCAGAAAGGTACTATTGGATAGTGAAGAGAGGTTTGGCCTTGGAGTGGAGAAGTCCTGGCTTCAAGTACTTCCTCGTACTCATACTAGCTATATATAAATGAGTCACTTAACCACTCAGTGATCCCCAGCTGCCCTCTAATACTAAAAATCCTAAGAGAATTGCCCATTCATAGCAAGGGAGGAAGTTTCTACACCAGGATTGTTGCTGTTTGTTCTTCATTCTCGAAGAGGACCATGACATCAGGGAGGTGATGCCATGACAGGCAAGTGGATTATATTTAAATGAGGAAGGGCTGTACAAAGTCACCAGCCTCACTTTCTTCTGTGGAGTCATCTGGGTCCAGTGGCAAGATGTAGATCAGGATGCCAGGGGATGGCCCTGGATGAGGGCACACCGAGGCGCACAGACCTAAACAACAAAAAAAAAAAGACAAAGAAGAGCTCAACTTGCCTCAGTTATGTGAGGTCCAAGGTCCCTTCCAGCTCTAAAATCCTTTCCAACTTTATTTCAAATAACTCATTTCAGGCACCTGATAACCCCAGTCAAACTAGACTACTCCAAGTTCATAGAGATAGTAAGTGTGACCTCTGCTTAGGACTAGAAATCATACTTGAGCCTTCTGTGAGAGGTTCCTGCTAAAGAGTGTGCCCAAATCCCTGTGGTGGTCACAGAATCCATAGCCTCCCTTAGGGAGGCTTGGTGATAACCATAGGTTGCTGCAGACCAAGGGCAGAACTCCCAACCCTATCCCATTGGAACTCAGCTATGATCACTCCCAAGTCCAGAAATAAGGAAGTGAAGCAAAAGAACATAAATTACCTCACTTCACTTCTCTTGGATTTAGGTAGCTGAATTTTTTCAGACTCAGTACTTCCTAGATATAATCACTGGAAAAATAGAAATCTGTTTTTATTCTCATTTTAAAGCAGAAATCTGCCCCACCTAGGGTCATTTGATGACATATTAACCATATCAGTCTTCTAATTCCCATTGCTTTCACCCAAAAGACTTCTAGACTACTCCAAGCAAACAATCCAGTTTTCCAATCAAAAGCCTAATGGCTCATCTATTAAATCTCTTGATTAATTAATCCATAAGCATTTAATAAGAACCTACTACGTATCAGGCACTGGGGATTTATAAAAAATCAAAACAGTTTCTGCCCTCAAAGAACTAGCATTCTATCAGGAGATGCATGTATATATGTAGGAATTTGAGATAAAAATGTGTTACTTTGGTGGGATGACACTAGCTACTGGTAATGGAGTAAGAAGGAGATCAGGGGCAGCTAGGTGGCACAGCAGATAGAGCACCGGCCCTGAAGTCAGGAGGACCAGAGTTCAAATCCAGCCTCAGAACAAACACTTGACATTTACTACCTGTGTGACCCTGGGCAAGTCACTCAACTCCAGTTGCCTAAAAAAAAAAGAAAAAAAGAAATAAAGAAGATCAGGAAAAGCCTTATATAGGAGATACCATTTGATGTGAACTTTTTAAAAGTTAGAGATTCTGAGACATAGAGGGGAAGACAGTGCAGTCAAAGCATAGGAGACAGCCTATGCAAAGATATCAAGATGAGAGATGGAATACAATGTGTGAAGAAGAACAAATCCAGCTTTGCTGAACCTAGACAGACATGAAGAGGAGTATTACATAATAAACCTGGAAAGATATATTGAAGTCATTCTCTGAAGTGCTTGAAATGCCAAACAAATGAGTTTGCATGTTGTCCTAAAGGTATAAAGGAGCTACTAAAACTTCTGGAGTAGAGGAATGACAAGGCTTCTGACCTGTGCTTTGGGAATATTACTTTAGGAGCTATTCATGTCTGGATTGGAAAAGGGCAATATTTGAGTCAAGGAAACCAATTACAAAGCTATGGAAATAGTCTATGTTAGAATGAGATCATCTGCAGAGATGACAATTAAACCTATAAGAATTGATGAAGTCACTAAGAGAGAGAATATAAAGAGCAAAGGGTCTAGCACAGAACTTTAGAGTACATCCACTGTTCTCAGATTAGCATTGTCTTCATCATCACCATCATCATCATCATTATGAATGATGATGTAGCAAAGGAGAATGAGAAGGAGTGGTCAGACAAGTAGGAGGAGAAGCAAAGGAGAACAATGTCAAGAAAACCCAGAGAGGAGAGAGGAAGTCAACAGCGCCAAATGCTTTAGAGGGGTTGAGAAGCATGAATATTGAGAAAAGGCCATCAAATTTGACTACTAAGAGATCCATTTGGAAAGAGCAATTTTGGTTGAATGGTGTGATTGGAAGCCAGACTGCAAAAAGTTGAGAAGTGAATTAATGAGAAAAAAGTGGAGGTGCTAGTATTGACTATTCTTTTTCCAGGACTTTGATTGTAAAGAGAGGAGAGACCAATGATAATAGAACGAGGAAATAATGGGGTCCGATAAGGACATTTTTAAAACAAAAAAAAGTTGGAGAGTGAAATAAGACCTGTTTTTGAGCATCAAGGAAGGAGCCAATGGAGGAGGAGAGGTTAAAGATGGCATGGGAGGTGGGGTGGGGTGGGGTGGGGTTGCAGGGAGGATGGCAGAGACAATCTATAGGAGGAAACAGAATGGGATGCGATGGAGAATATGTAGAGGGTTTGGTCTTCGAGAGGAAAGGGGCCACCTCTTCATTAGAGATTGGAGTAAAGAAGACGCATATAGGGGATGATGTCAAAGAAATAAGAGGAAGAAACAAGAGGTAGCTCATGAAAGCGTCCTCTATTTTCCCAATGAAGTATGAGGTGAAGTCCTCAGCTGAGAGAGATTGTATGGAGAAACACATGGGAGACTTGAGAAGAAAAAAGATTTTGATGGCACTTAAGCTTTAATAAAATTGTCTACCCTGCCTCTTAAAAAACCTTTTCTACCCTAGATCTTAAAAACTTTTCCTTCAGTCAGCAGCTCTGCTGTAATGTAAACATTTTGGTAAGGGAGGAGATTGGAGTCCAGACCTAGGATTTTATTAGTAAGAAAATTACATTTGACTGCTCACTTGTCCCCAGTTGTTTCTATCTGCCAAATCCCAGGGAAAACCAGGAGCAAAAGAAAAGCTTGACATTTACATATATATGTGCACACATATATACACATATGTCTATAGTGGTTATTACTGGACATATTTTGACAATGCAAACAGGTGGATTTTTTCTTTCTTCATAGATTGACACAATTTGAACCTCCCCTGCAAGGAAACCAAATCTTTAGCTATTACAGCAATTAATCAAAACAAGCAGGGAACCCTCACTCTACAATGGTATCCTTTCTTGATTAAGTTAAAAGTATTCACAGAGAGCCAGCTTAATGAGAGTGATTTGGAAACTCCATACTAATCCATTGAATTTTCATGCTTCTTCCTCTACTCCTCCACCCTTAATATGGAACCCTCAACATTTCATACTGCACTGTAATTGAAGAGCTGATCTCTGGGAAGCCAGGCTTCAGGAAAAGGGGTTACAACCCTAGAGGAAGTATTGCAAGTACTGTCTCAGTAGCCCAGGAAGGGCAATAGTCTCTAATGGCTTCACAGAAACTGTATATCAACATTATTCTTGGTCACAATGCAGGCACAAACAAAAGTCATGATGAATGTTTCATTTTTATCTTTATATTCCACCTGGCATATGGTAGGCACTTTAAAAAATTCTTTCTGCTCGATTGAATGGCATTTCATTTATTGACTACCTACTATGTGCAAAGGGCAGCTTCTTAGCATGGAGCCTGGAGTCAGGAAGATTCATCTCCCTGAGTTCAAATCTGGCCTCAGACACTTACTAGCTGTGTGACCCTGGGCAAGTCACTTCACCCTGTTTGCCTCCATTTCCCTCATCTGTAAAATGACCTAGAGAAGGAAATGGCAAACCACTCTAGTATCTTTACCAAGAAAACTCCAAAATGGAGTCAAGAAGAATAGGACACAATTGAACAACAGTAACAACTGTGTGGGAGGCATTATCATAGTATCACACACCTAACTGACACCTTAGAGGTCGCTTAGTCCAGCCTCTCATTTTGCAAATGAGGCCACTGAGGCCTAGCAAGGCCAAGGACTCGGGATCACAGGAGCAGGTCTGGGGAGAATCTCAAGGGACAGCTCGTCCAGCTGTCTTGCTTCACAGACGAGACCCAGAGATTGTTACCTGTTATGGGCACACAGGCAGTGAACAGTTTGGACAGGGAGGGAGTTTATAAGGAAACCCCTGATCAAGTGAATTTCCCCAACCCAGCTGATGAAATTAAAGAAAGTAGCAGAGCCAAGATGGCAGAGTGAAAGCAGTGACTCGCTTGAGGTCTCCCACAAACCCCTCCAAATACCTATTAAAAAATGGCTCTAAACAAATTCTAGAGCAGCAGAACCCACAAAAAGACAGAGTGAAACAAATTTCTAGCCCAAGACAACCTGGATGGTTGATCAGAAAGGCATATCGCGCCAGGTGGGTAGAAGAGCACAGTTCAGCGTGGGTGCACATGCCACAGCAAACCTGGAGCAGGCCTCAGAGGACTGGATAGCAGGCAGCTGTGGCAGTTTCTAGACTTCTCAACCCAGGAATGCTAAAGACAACTTAGAAGGTCAGTGGGAAAAGTCTGTTTCTGAGGTGAGAGAGAGAAGAAAGGTGGTCTCAGCTCCAGTCCCTGAGCTTGGCCCTGGAATGGCGGCTGCCTCCTGAGCTTCTGGACCACACACTGAAGGGGAATCAAATGGCTGATCAGAGGGGGATTTCAGGGATCTCTCTGCTGGTGCAGGATTCTCTTGCTTTGCCTGTGCTTGGATTTGGGTCACAGTTCTGGGTGGTGGTCCTGGGGCGAGGAGGAGCGCTGGAGTGGTAGAGCTTGTAGTGGCCATGAAAAGAGAATCCTCCTCCCAGTTCCAAGGCAGAAAAGAGTGCTTGTGGTCACTTGTAGACCAGGCCAGGAAAGGAGTAAACACCTCACCCTTGATCATACCATCTTGGAAGAACTGAAAATTTACAGGTCCCTGGAAGTACCTCTGAAAACAGCTGCACAAAACCCTTGAAGCTTGGGAGAGTACATTCTACACACTGGAAACAGACCCTTACTTTAACAAAGAGTTTATAGCTCAAGTAATTGGCCAAGATTAGGAGAAAGCAGTGCAAAAAGAGTCAGACCATAGAATCTTACTTTGATGACAAAGAAAATCAAAACATACAGCCAGAAGAAGAAAATGAAGCCAAAGCTCCTACATCCAAAGCCTCCAAGAAAAATATGAATTGGTCCCGGGCCATGGAAGAGCTCAAAAAGGATTTTGAGAAACAAGTAAGAGAAGTAGAGGAAAAACTGAGAATGATGCTAAAGGAGACTC